ATGTTTAATGTGGTAAGATTTCTGATAAACTCTATGGAAATGATCTTTGATATTTATGCCTTTGAGTAAATAATTATATCTTTTAGCTGAAACAATATTTATAGTTCCTTCAGTTTAGAACTGTAGTTTTTACTAAAATTGTGTTTGTGTTAGTGGAGAGAATAGTGGAAAGCATATTTTATTTAAAAGCTAAAATGAACAGTTAAATCATGAGCAATCTCTTCTGAGCCATCCTGAAATTTCTTACAGGTATGCTTGAGAGGTTGTTAGCAACAGGTATTGGTGCTTGGAGTCAATGAGAGATGAGGAGCAAAGGACCACATTGTTTTACAGAATCTGTAGTGGAGTGAGGAGCAGAGGAAGTGAAAGCTGCAGCTGTTCACAGCTGCTGAGTGACCGAGGTGAAGGGAGTCAATGACATTATACCTGGTCTGTACCAGTATCCTCATTAGAGCTGGTGCTAATTGTCACCCCTCTTGGCAGTCTGAATGGAGTTCCTGAATCAAAGCATCAGATTCATCTCCTCATTTGATGTGTATTGGCAAGAGTTAGCTTGAAAACCTTTTTTCCCAGTTCTCTCAAATAAACCATTTATTCTGGTAGAGTAGAAGGTAGTTTTCACTGCCGACGAGGGATCATCACTTGCTGACTTTCTAAGTATTCATACATGGAATTTGTAAGGGAAGCAATGGTGAAAGATCAAGAGCAAGCATTGTTACATATACATAAAAAATGAAGCTCCATGAAAGTGAAATTGTACTTTTCTGTGAAATTACTTGAATGACTGATGTCACAGCAACCTCTGTGACAATGGAGAGAAATTAGATAAGGCAAAAGATTTTCTCTTTATTTTGTAGAATGTGTACTCATGATTTTTTATTCCTGTGCACATCTCTCTCGGCTGAGTAAAATAAAGAAATGTTTTTATAAAGCATTGTAGAATACCAGAGGTTAACTGAAAGCAGAAGAGCCTGAAATACATTAGGAAACTGAACTTTCTCATTCTGTTCTTTCATGTAATCGAGAAGTGTGAATCCAGTGCCGTATATCAGGCTTACTACGCTATGTGTCATAGTATAATATAATAAAATACTGTTATGGCCTGAACAAAGGGTCCTGAACCCAAAGTTAGGTGCTATTTTCCAACTGTAGCAAACAGTACAAGAATTCTGTAAGCTCTTGAGGTTTTTACTCAATAAAATCTATTAAGGGCCCTAACAAAGTGTAGCAGCTGAAATAACTTTTTATTTTTTTGTAGATTGGTTAGGTTGTCTGTGCTCCCAGTGTTCCTTTAAAATCTTGAATACACTTTTCTTGGAGAATGTAAAAATTAATGAAGAAGGAGGGAGCATGTTGAGTATTTTGAGAAGTTAGAACAGAAGTATGATAGAATAGAGTTATTATAGCCAAGCTACTTGCTTGGCTGTAGCAGTTAGCGTAGGAATATGTAATTCATTCCCATTATTGCCTTCACACATGTCAAATGAGAGCTAAACATGTGACAGGTATTGTCTGCTTTTTTACATCTTCACACCATAATATCTGACATTGTCGTAGCTTTCTATATAGGTGTCTTCAGGTCAGGCAGTATTAAGCCTTGCAAATCTTATACGTTTATGTGGGTGCTAAAATATCTGCATTGTTGTTTTATGTTTTTAAAATATTCTGAATATGTAAAGTGCTGTTCAAGTACTAATTTTCAATATTTTCTTCTATGCACAATAATTTGATTTAGTTAGATTTTAACCTTCAAGACTCACCTAAAATTATTAAAGTGCTCTCTTTATGACCCTTTGCAGTCTTAACAGCTTTTCCTGGTATCCCCAAGAACCATGTAAAACCTCCATCCAGTCTTAGTCTGCAATGCTTTGATAGGCTCTCTCTTCTCGGGCTTTTTTTAACTCTAAGCTTGGATGGTTTATTTGGTGTGTGGGGATGTTCACTGACTGACCTTTCGTGTTTTTTCCACGAAGCACTGTTTTTGTGAGGTATAGACAGAAAGGGTAATGGCCAGATTCTCACACTAGGTAAGTGTCGTCATGGAATATAAATTCACTAATGCCCAAAGAAAGCATTGGAACACTGAAAAAGAGAGTGAAAAGAATTTCTTCACACCTTTAGAGAGCAGAAGCCATGTGACTGTAGAAAATAAACATTTTTAGCATAGAGTACGTGGTTTTTCATTATTTATTTGAGATTATTCTGGAAACAGGATTTATAGATGATGTAAACAAAAATCTGATGGCAGAAGGATTTGAGGCTAAATTTAAGCATTTTTATAGAAAATCATATGTGTAATCGGCAGCTATTATTTGAACACAGACATGAATAATAGAGAAGGGAAGAGTTTTATGCTTCTGGATGCTTGTAAAAATAATTTTATTATAAAAAGAGGTGTCATGCTCATAATTTAATAGATCAGTCCTTGTTGTCACTATCATCATTGTCACTGTCCTATGAAAAAAAGAGATGACACTTGTATTTCCTTTCATAAGGTAATAAATCTTTCATAGCTGTGTACTTGGTTTGATTAATTAATATGTATGAGATACCCAAGATGCTAAAATTTTTTTCTTCTAGTCCACAAGGAAACAGAACTGCAGATAACTGCCCTGAATGTTTTAATGTAGTCATTATAATCTCATTAAAAACATCCGGTTTTAGTGAAGATTTGTATTCACCAAGTTGCCTATATCCACTATTGATAGACAAAATGCAGTGGGTAACAGATTATATACAGAAGCTATAATTTCAGAGACCTGAAAGGCTGGCATAAAAATGCCAATCTGCTTCTTTTTCAATCTTTTATTTGCAAACTCCAAAACATTTTCCAGCTGAAGCATCTCTCTACCAAAGAGTAAATTTCAACTTCCTTTGAAAATACTTCTTTTTTAATTACCTTTTGCTAATCATAACGAATTGGCAAACCATGAATCGAAGGCAAATATCCCAAATATCATAGACATCCTCATGGTTATGACTTGTTTAAAGAAATGTCATCAGATTTCTAGCAACTTATAAATATCGTTCAGACTAATTTTTCAGACTGGTTGGTAGCATAGTGCAGCACTAGCTCATAGGTGCTGACATGGGTTACTGTCTGCTGGGGGAACTAGACAATGGCAATTTATAATTTTTTCCAGATCACATTTAGTTCCATCTCCCACATATGGAATTTAAAAGTTCATTTGTTTGTGCAAGTTGTAATGTTAGAAAAACTGTCCATTTGGACAAAGTGGTACAGTTTTTCAAGAAAATTCCTCTCATTAGATTGAGGGGAAATAAAATCTCAATGCTATTAACTGTATAGCTTAAATTGGTTTAAATATGTTAAGTGAATCGTTGTGCTTGTCAGTTCTTGTTAAGCTGAAGAGTTGTATTTAATTATGTGCTGGACAGTACTGAATTCAAAAATGTGTGTGTGTGTGATCATGATATCCCTCATGAAATCTGTTCATTCAAGGTATTTCCAGTTTTTTGTGCTATGTTCAATAGGTTGATTCATTCTGCTCTAATGAGGATACCATTGTGTACATAAATGTTCATCCGTATGGTTGCATTCATAATTTCTTCCTTTTAACAGAGCTTTCTCTCTCCCTCTTTTTTTTCCCCTTTTGTTAGTTTTGGTAGCCTTTCTTACTCCAACTGAATGGGTGCAAGAAAAGTTCTGATTCCTTGTTCATACATCATGTTAAAACTGTAACCACTAGAGTTGACTCAATTGTGTCATAGTGACAATGTCTTGATGTTAAACTGACCTGAAAGAAGGATTAGATTTAAGCTGATATTTTAAGTTTTCAAAATTATTGTAATGCTGAAGTGTTGAAAGATCTATGGGCAGATGTCCTTTTGTAACTGAAACAGCTACAGGAGTTGTCCTCTCCATCCATTCACCTCTGCCCATATAACTTTAACAAAATTGTCTGAGTTAACCCAGTGGGCCTTGTAATAAATTGAATGCTTATCAATGAGACCGAAGAAGAGGTATCCAAACTAATCAAACCCCAGGTGTGGAGGCAGTGACTTCTTGTTAGGGGCAGAAATGTATTGTAAATGCTGCTTAAAAATCCATCAACGTGGTTATTCTTTTTAAACCTGTGAAATTCATTGAGATTGAGAGATAGATAAAATAATTTATTTAATTGTAAGTCACCATATAGACACACAAGAATCAAAAGTCCAGGTTTAGGCAATGAAGAAAACATTGGACTCAGAGATGTGTTATCTTCTCTTTCCATACTGGGAAAGAAAAGTGCCACTTTTCTTTCCCAGTATGGGAATATTAAGCAAGAACCACGTTAAATATAAAAAGAAGAATGGTAAGCACAACACTGCCTGTGAAACTCCACTCTCCCCAGTGATCAGTGTAGTTTCAAATTCAGGCACCTGAAGTATTTTATCTGCTTATGATCCAGTGTGCCTCATTTGCCCAAATATGTTTGAAATACCACTAAATACTAGTGGTGTATATATAGTATTATATAGAAAATGCCACTAAAAAAAGAAAGGTGATTGTCCCATGGCAGAAACCCAGGGGGTTTTTTTTTTTTTTGTTTGTTTTTTTTTTGTTTTTTTCCTGGCAGGTAAGTGTTAACCACAAGTCTGTGCAGTTATGTTCCATCTTGTCTGCTTCTCCTCTAGGTCCAAGAACTGTTCAGTTTTTTCCACACTTTGGCCTCACTTCACTGCTGAGCACAGCAGGTACCTTGGTGATGGGGGCATTCCCAAATGTGAAAGGTGCCCCTCTGATTTCCTGCCTGATAAAAAAAATGGAATTTTAGTCAGTTTCCATTTCTTTGGAATCAGATAGGAAGGGAGTAAAGAGTTAAGCCTGAGTCGCCACTGGTGGGTGGGTTGAGCCAGTTTTCAGTGTTGATGTATGAAAAGTACTTAAACTATCACTTTGGGAATAGGCCTATTGCTTCTGAGACAAGAGAGCATTCCTGTCTAATTCCTGCTACACAAGGGGAAGACACTGCACTGTTATAATTAAAACTGAGGTTATTTATTTATTATTTTCTTACAGGAAGCAGATTCGACCCCTTCTAGGACAGTTTAGCCAGTCAGAGGCTTTGTTAATCTCGTCTGGAGTTGAGCCAGGGACTCTAGACGGAGTTCTCTTGGATGCTGGCTGTTCTTCTATGCAATTTGATACACCTGAAAGAGGTTTTTCCCTGCAGAAGGACGGACCTTTGGACATGAGGATGGATAGTGACAGGTGCCTGTTAATAGATATTACTCCTTGAAACTCAAAAACTGTGCTCAACAACCCCCGTGTATTTCATTTCCCCTTAAATTAATTCTCATCATAAAACCACATCTAATTTTTCATGAGTATACTGTTTTTCTTTTGCTACAAAGCTTTTTTTAATCTCGATACTTAGAATACTGTTTATTATCTTTTCCTTCTTTGGAACTGTAATGGTTTGAAACCTGCTGCCCCTGGTGGGTGGAGATTTGAAACCCTAAACCAGGTACAAGCCTGAATGAAATGGGCGTACACCTGTCCTATTCCCAATACCCTTTTTCCTGTCTTCGGGACTTCCTGCCAAGGTCTATAAAAGGGGTGAGAAAGGCACGCCTCTTCCTCTTGCTCTCTTGCTCTTGCTCCTTTGACCTTGTACCTGGGGACACGTTGCTCTGCTGCTCCCTGTGCTACACATGGCCGTGGCCATCTTGGAGACCTGGGCCTGATCTACAGACTCTTCCCTGCCTCCATCCACGTCCAAGGATTGTGCATCCAGCTTCAGTCCACCTCAATCCAGTGAGATCCAGCACCGGGGAGCCTTAGCACAGCATTTGGGTTTTGTATATTTGGAAGTTTAATCTTCCTTGCCTTGTTGTTCCTACAACCCCCCTTCCCTGTTAAACCCCTACCCTTCTTCCTTTCTGTACCCTGTTAAACCCCTTCCCTTCTTCCTTTCTGTTCCCTGTTAAATAATATATTTCATTTTGTTAATTTTCAATTTGGTGCAAGGTTTTCATTACCCCCACCTTCCTTATTTACCTCTCTATCTGGGAAACTGAGGGATAAGGGAGGTGGGACACAATTCTGCCTTCTAACCGGGACAGAACAGAAACACTAAAGTTCCAGTGGTGAGTAATTAAACCAGTAACATTTTTGTTAAATATACCATTAAAATTTTACAATTTGGGCTGCATGTGCCCTACAGGCACAGGGGCATCACACTTTCAGAGGCCTGCCTCCTCACTGTTATTTCCACAGATTCTCAGACTGAACTTAATCTGCAGGCTCACAACCACTTACTGCAGCCCCTTTCCTTCTCTGCCACACTTACTATTTGTGGCACCTTCACTTGAGCACGTTCAGTTGCTCCTTCAGGAAAGGAGCGACCTCCCTCTTTTCTGCCATAGAACCTGACCTAGTTACTTCTCTCTAAAAGGAGTGTAATATTAAATAAATAAATAAAATCCAATCCACGGTATCTGCCAGTTGAAATCAGATAGCAACACTGCTTTTAACACACTAGTGTAGTGTTGTCTTCCATGCCCATAGGTTTATTGTGAGCTTTCTGCAGTAATTTCTTAACTTCCTTTCACATTGTGTAGGAGGCACATGAGGCTTACTTGTAAAATTGACAATTACTGAATAAATCACCTCTATTGAAATTATTAGAAATGGTGTTCAGTACATTCAAGAGCATGAAAATAACGGTGGAATGATAATTTCTGCTTCTGTAGCACTTTTTGTCTTCAGCCTAAAGTATTGTAGTTCTGTAGCGTTGTGAGTTTTACTTGAACAACCAAGGGCCTCTGTTGTATAGATGATGGCAATAATTGCATAATGCATTACTCGGAGAGTGAAAATTTTTGCTATATGTTTTGTGAACCTGTATTCTTAAGAAATGTCATTGGATCTTTCATTAGCCACATAGAGCCAATGGAAAGCCTCAGCTCTAAGGAATTATCTTAACACGTTAATGTTGAGTCTTAACACAGCAAATTTCACGCTAGTCGCTTTTTCCAGTTTTGTGTAAAAAGCTCACATAATCCTCCTGAGATACAGCCCTCACATTTCAAGGATCTGAACTCCAGGCTTGTATTTGCATCATGAGAGTATATACATGGAACAGGAGCATAAGAAAATAAGGATACCTGTGGCATAACAAAAGCCTTGCACTATGGTTGTTGCTATGATACTACTTGCCTCTGATTTCTAAGTTTTGTTATCTTTTGTAAGATACTGCAGGAGAGTCATAAATGCCTGACAAATATTCTTTACGTTCATGTCTTTGTAGAAAAGAATTTAAGTTGCATGTTTCCTGTGATAAGTAAACCCATATATGATGTTCATAAAATAGCTTCGAACTATTGAATATTGAACTATTTCAATAGCAAAGTGACACAGATTAAATAAAATTAAAATGTATGGCTTATACTGCTTATATTGCAATAATTTCTGTTGTTTGTAATATTAGGTAATTTCTATTCTTTCAGAACAGTATTTGGATATAAATTCGTATGCCTTTTGTTGAAAAGTGAAGTTAAATGATTTTCAACAACAATCATTTCTGTAGCAGGAGATGTGAAAGAAAAGATCCTTGAAATCAGTTCTGACTAGAAAACAACATCTAATGCAAGGTGACTAAAATGAACCCATAAGGGGCAAATTTATATTCTAAATCTGGCTAAAGCAGAAGTCACACAGCATTTCCATTTTAACATGATACTGAATTGTATTTATTCTCAACTCAATAAGCATGGTTTTGTGGTAACACTTCGAAGTTTCAGCTGTTCTAATTGATGTTAAGGAACAAACTCCATTTCAAGTACCAAGAAAAAGGATTTAAAAGGTGAAAGCTATATCTGTTTTCACAGGGTTGCTGTCTTTTATTTGAAAACCTCAAAGACACTTGTATGCAGTGCGTGTGTTTGACTTTGTCTCAATGCTATGAAGCTTCACCTCTTGTGAATGAAAGCTGACGTCAGTGAACTAATTGGCTGCTCTCGTGCGTAGGTTCCCTGCCATGCCCACTGCCGCTGATGTTGTGAACGCTTTAGATCAAGGGGCGCTTGCGTCCGTCCTGAGAACGTACGGGGAGGAGAGGCACGCCAAGAAAATCGCTGCAGCCATCGTGCAGGCACGCAGCATCTACCCCATCACCAGGACTCAGCAGCTTGCCAGCATTGTTGCAGGTACTCTCATTAATTCTTCACCGTGGCTGTGGAGAAAAAAATATTAATCCCCCAAGTCCCAGAGGGATCTATTTGTACTTGAAATCATACAGGATCTAATCCTGCCTGTTCTGTTCTGATGTCAGCTCTACTTTTTTTTTTTAACCTCACGCTTTTTATATTGTGGTTTCACGATTAGTTTAATAATAGATTTTATTTGAAGTGATTTATCATTTCGCCAACCAAGTTGAAACACAGAAGGACAGCCACCTAGGGAATTCTCTGTCCCTGCTATTGATAAGCCTTCAAGTATCAGATATGTCATATACCTCTCTTAGTTTTAAATTTCTACATTTTAATATTTTGAGGGCAATTAATATGGCAGTTTCCAATTATGAATCAAATCAGATCACTTCTGTCTGCTTAAAGAACCAGAAAGCACAAAGTAAAGCAACACATCGTTTGCTTCACGTTGTGAATGCCAACTAGATCAGCCTGAAGCGACTATTGAAACACTTCATCTTACTTGCTCTTCACTGTAAACAACTTGAACAAAACGTAGTTAGGCAGGAGCTATGCTCACATCAAGTACCTTTGTGTTTGTATTCCCCAGTGAAAATTTTAAAGAAAAAAGTAAGCCACAAATCCTGTTGATTAACATACGTTAATGGCGTTAATCCCATTATATGTTGGGATATTTTTTTACCCAAGAAATGAAAATAATGGATCTTGTCACAAGTCTAAACTGTTGACTCCCTTGAACAGAAACCTTTAAAATGGCTATCTAGATTTAACATCTGAGTAGTGTTAACCATTGTATCAGTATTGTGAGGATTTTTTTTCAAATTGTTTTTTAAAACATTAAAAATTATAGTATTCATTAAAAATTGTGTTACTTAAACTGGAAGTTTAAGGGACTTACTTTTGATGACTGACAAACAAGTTAATTCATTAACAAAGTAATTAATACTTCATAGAAGTCATGATACTTGAGCAAAATGTCCAGTCAACTGAGGCCCAAAGTTTAGCTGCTACAATATCCATTAAGTTATTGAGATAAGCCAGAGCTGAAGTGGCAGAGACCACATCTACAGGATCCTTTTGGTGAAACAGCACAAAAAATCCTACTAATTCATTACTTTACCAGAGTAAAATCTGTGCCCTATTAGTTAAATATCAAGTCCTTAAAAAAAAAAAAAAAAAAAAAAAATTAGGATAATAAATTCTTGCATTTTAGATTTTGGAGACTCTGTACAAGCATGATTACCTTTCCAGAGCAGGATCAACTTTTTTTGCCTAGTGTAGGAGATAGAAGACATGCAAAACATCTAGCCAGTGGGGCTGGGTGTTTATGCCTTTCTCTGCTGGTGTCAGTATCTGAGAATTCATGCGTAGTCCATATTTCTTTCACAGGTTACAGATTACTATTTCTTCAGATTTTCTAGAAGTCCAAATTTTTGTTTTAAGGTCCAGCTGATAACCAGAATCCCAGTGAATCTAGCTAGCCCAAAACTGGAAATTTTCATTTCTATTTTACAGAATGCTAGAATTCTAGTCTCTCCTACCACCCCCAAGAAGATTAGAACCTGTATTGCTGTTGCTAATTGATTAGGAGTTAAGAGTGAAGGATATCATTATAAAACAAACAAACCAGCTCCACAGCAGTTACAGAACAATCAGACATTTTTAAAGTTTGTATTGGCAAGAGTTATTATTTTAAGGTATAGCTCAGTAAATACTAAAGGTCAATAATGCTCAGATGAAGATCTGTGGATAGACAAATGTGTGGAAGTCGATTATGAAGTGCTGCCTGATGGCTTTTGTTGCTCATTGAGTTGTTTGGAAAGAAAAGGTTTAACTTTATGTGCATGAGAATGGTTAAAAATAATGAAATTTTTTGAATGTAATTTTAATATGCTTTTCCCATACAAGGGATGATCTATTTTTGTTTCATCTCGGTAGGTGGTGTACCTTGTTACCTACTAGGTTTTGGTCAAAATTTAATTTTTCTCAGTGTTACTTAGCTATGTAATCTATTCACAGATCATTTTGAGATCATGTAATCATTTGGACCTGAAAGAAATTGATGTTGAGATATTAAAGAAATTTGAAAAGTTTAAAAAGAACTTTTAATGGGTAAAGCCAGTCTCATTCAGGTCGGTTTGCATTTATAGCCTCCAGTTTTCAGTGTGGAATTTGTAATCCTGCCTGACTTTCAGATGGGTGAGAATTAACACTGTGCTGAGGAAGCCTAGACAAAAGGACATTAGTTGCGTCACAGAAACTTATTAAATGCAATGCTAATTCAACAGATGGATTCCTGCAAACAGGTGCACCATCTGAATTAATTTTTAAAATCTCCCACTCTCATACTCTCTGGGGACTTCAATAGTTCATACTGACAGGCACAGCACAATGCTAATTTCATTGGCAAGATTTAAAATTTCAATACATTTCAACATGTGAGTCTATTAGGTTTTTTTTGAAAGTGTAAGTAGTATCAGGGCATCCCAGACTAAAAATGATAATTTCTCTCACTGGGATTTCAAACCCATCATCTAGCCAGAAGCGTGGTGTTTTTTATGAATGAAATTCATTTTACAAGCTTCCCATACAGATTTTTTTATATTTTTGTACTTTGTACAGCCTGTTACCAGGAAGGATTTTCTTAGTGTCGTGGTAATTGGAGGGGGCTGGGTGAAAGATTTTTGTGCCTCAACAGAAAGCACAAATAGATTTTTAACTATGCCACAGGAATAGGAGTAGGGAAGGAAAAGTTTTTATCCCTGGAACATAGGTCAGTATCTACTGCCTTTAATACAAGGGTGAAGGCCAATGTGACAGAAATCACTACCAGAGATTACATTTATTAGTTAGTCTCTTATGGCAGACCAGTAAGTCTTTGAACTTAGAAATAGTTTGATTTTGATTTTAGTTTGGGAGGTTTTGGTCACACAAAGCTGCAAAGTGGTAGCATGTCTTTACCAGTTTCCTGAATACTGGTATTCTGTACTATTATATATGGATGCTCTTTGTGCACATTCAACTGAGGCATTTAAAGCTGGATTATACTTACAGAATATACCTGGATCTTAATTTATTTTTCTTTAGTGCCTGATAAATTAATGCATAGTGCTACAGTAATGTCACAGTTAATCGTCATAGAAGATGACTGTGGAAGACACTGAACTGAGCAACCACAAATGGAAGAACCTTCCAAAGACCTGTCAGTGTTCTAGTCATGCTGGTAGCCCGAGTATCTAATGTCTGTTGTTTATTCAGTATTCCAATTGCAAAATAGCAATGTTCATGATCAGACTTCTGACAATCTAGCCAGGTATCAGCATGTCATAGCTATTTTGTTTTTTACAAAACTAGTTTTGAAGTATATCTTAATAACATCCTTATTTTTTTTCAGATAAGTAAAAGATATTTTGGTGACATAGGAGATAAAACTTCTAGTATTTTACTAAAATTTCAGTGAGATTGACTGTGGAAGTTTTAACCAAGGACCTCATTCTAGGCTTCTGCTTCTATGGTCAGGTGCCTATCAAGATGCACACTCAGTTTTGTACCTAAATTACATGCTGTACTCTTGTGAGTTGACATCATTTTTATCTGTGATACTTTTGGAAGCTGAAATACATTTAGAATATCAGAAATGGATCATCCCCAGAAAACCAGTGTTTTTTTTTTTGTTTGTTTGTTTGTTTTTTTTTAGAAAATACTTTGACTGCTAAAATATGATAGTTTAAAATTCTGGATATGCTTTGAGAGATGAACACCAGCTCTGGGTAGTAACGGCCCAAAATTGGAAGTATAAAACTTCAAGTCAAGATGTTCTTCAAATCACTTCTGTAAGTGTCCAGCAAGGGGCAGGAACAATACAGGTAGAATCAAAATAATGCACCCTGTTTTCTAACCCACTAGCTTGTTTATAGCTAATATTTTGTAGGGGAACAGTGCTTTTTCATTCCAGTTACAACTCTTTTCATAGAGTGAACATGGAAGCAGTGGGCTTGGTTTTGGAAGGAGGGAGGAGAAGAGTATGGACTGCAGTGGTTGTTCTTGAGATCTTGTACAAAACCAGTATTTTCTTATTCAAGAGACCATAGCTTCTCTAATGGAATTCTTCAAAAGATACCCAAGATGATTCCACTTCAAATTCCATAGAAGGAAAATGCCTATTATGACTGAAAGTCAAAACAGGTCTTATTGAGAATACAGAGCTGTGTGTATTTAGTCACATAGTGCATGCTGTGGAAACATACATGTCCTGTGATGTTTTGGATACATTACACGCTGGTTTTAAACCCTGCTCTTGAATAACTAGTCAAGTGTTCTGAGCATACTACTAGTGTTTGCAGATGTTGACCACTAGAAGAAAATTGTTTATTTTGCTCAGGACAGCATCCCTTTATGTTACACATTAAGAGGCAGGTTTCCTCACACAAAAATGGCAGTTTTAAGGATTCGATTTTTATCGGTTTTAGATATATAAAGATCTGGAAACAGATACTGTGCCAGGTAGTACAAGCTTGGTGTCACTGGGTTTCTTGGGACATCTTACCTTCTGTGATTTTGAGTTCTTTTAATTCAACTCTTCCACTAAAATAGGCTTTTTTACTCCTACAATGAGGGTATATATGCTTTTTCTGATTTATAGAGAGTATAGGATTTGTAGTTTTGACAGACAAAAATTGTATTAGCTTGCTGGTGCAGCTTTTTCTAGAGTTGGTAAGTGATAGAGGAGCCTAGTTCCTGCAGGCTGAATCTATTTACTCTGGTGAAATGGTTTAAAGTCACAAATTCCTGTGCAGTAGTTTGTGTTGGGAGAGTTTGATCCTGTTGCCACTTCTGTCTCAAAAGATTCAGATGACCAGAATAAGAAACAGACACAACTCTGATAGGTCATCTCTTCAGTTAACTCAGGAACCGTTAGCATTAGAGTCACAGGAGGCAGGGAATGTAGCTGAGAAAAGTGAGTATGCAGAAGCACATCTCACATACACTGTATACGTGAGAATTTTGTTAATAATGATTGATTTTTTGTATCTCATTATTGGTCTCTCCCTTTGCTGAAAACTGATGGTCGCCTGGATGTGTGTGATGTCAAACACATTTTCTGACATAAGTAAAATCTTTCCCTTGCAACTCTCAACAATTCCACAATTAAATTTTGTGACAACCTCTTGGATTATGATATATCTATTAAATTTTTTTTCAATCATCTCTGTAAATGTGAAATTAGTCAAGTTGTTTCAGAGGTACTATGTTCCCTTCTTTTAGTCCACTACATAGGATATCAGCTACTTGACTACAAACTGCATTTACTTCAAACTCATTTTATTATGTTGTATTTTTTCACTGGCATGGAATTAAGGCATTTAAATAGCTACATACTCTCTATATTGCCTTACCTCTAATGGGCCCTCTTGTTTGGAAAAATAATTCTTTTCAGTTATGTGCTAGCATTAATCATTCAATTTATCTTTACCAGACTCCTGTGCTCACTTCATAATAGATTATAAGTTACGGAGGTTCCACAGAGCTGGTGAGACTCTTGCGCTTTAGTCCCTTTGATCCATCAAATCTGACTCCTTTAGCTTTTTGCTCTATACTTAGATAATGAAGTTTCAAGGCTAACATACATTAAATAATGATATATTAAAGTTCCTATAGAAATTTTGGTCTCCACAGAGACTTTTGTAACTCATAAGAATTTTGAAGAAAGAAAGAGGGAGTTTTGTGCATATAGTAAATATTATTTAATCTGCTGATTTATCATCCAAAAAACTCATCCTTGACACATTCTGCTGCATAGGCATGTGAAAAAGCAACAGTATGAACTGCACTTTGTAAATTTCTCAAGGTATTTTTGTGAATATTTGAAGAAACACAGGTTGTAATGGTCAACAATTTCTACCCCCAAACAAGGATGCCTCTCTTAAGCTTTAAGTAATACATTGAAAGATACTTGTCACCAGGTAGACATTGTATTATCTCTGCCTGGGAAGAAAAGCATAATTACCTAGAAGACACCAGCTTAAATTGTATCCATCATATAGTGACTATTTTTTTACCTGAAAAGCATGAAATGAATCACCACAAATACTGATCTGACATTGACTACACTGATCTGTAAAGTGAGACTTACTTACTTCACTTGTTCCCTATCTTGATTTCAGACATCATTTTGTATTTTAACTTTGTGAAGCATTTGGGGAAAGAATCTCTAGGAGAAAACCCCAACACTCACCTGCAAGCCAGCTTAGTTTAATAGGGTTTACTTTCAGAAATGTAAATTCAAGGCAGAAAATAAAGAAATGTATTATAAAGAAGCAAGCTCACCACTCAGGGTTCAGTTGTAAGTATGCTTTCCTTTGAAGTCACCACGCACGGGTGGAATAATGTCAGGAAAACAGTGTAAAAGTGATAAGGCACTAACATATACTTGTTAAACTTTGACAGGTGCTTTTCCAGCATCATCAGTGTATTCACGAAGAGATTTGCTTCAGAGACCAGCACACGTTGCTACCAAAACTTTCCAAGGTCTGCGGATATTTGTAAATGATGAACTCCATCAACTCTTGATTGGGCTGAAGACGGCTGAGAAGTTTCTAAAACCTGGAGGTCGCCTCGTAGCCCTCTCCTTTCATTCCCTAGAAGATCGTATTATCAAACGTTTTCTTCATGGAATAGACATGACAGAAAAGTTCAATCTTGGCTCAAGACAGAAGATAAGACAGGCTCTGAAAAATGGCTCCAAAAAAGAAGATACACAAGAATTTAGCTGTGAAAAATCCAACTCAAAGTGGATTCTTATGCGGAAAAAAGTGCTCACACCCCAGGCCAAGGATATTGAAACAAACCCAAGAGGGAGGTCGGCCAAGCTAAGAGCTGCTATTAAACTCTGAAATAAAATGTCTGATTACATAATTATATAATTTCCTTAAATTTTGTTTTCCAGAAGTTTAACTTGACAGATAGTAACAAACTGAAAAAATAAAATGAAAGCTTTAGAAAACATTTATTTCTTATCTTTGTGCTTCTTTTTAATAAGGATGTAGTGTAGAGCATCAAAAGGTAAAATAAATGTAGATAAGAAGGTGTCATTAATTGTACAAAAACGATATCTTTTTTAAAAAAGCATCAAACCAAAAGTTTATAAAAGTTACAGGGTTTATGTATTTATCGAATTCCTTTTAGTTTAAATTCAAACCACTCACATTAACAGTCTAAATTCAGTAGCTGATTGTTTTTATGGGGATATATTTCACACACCTAAGTCAGGTACTGGTTTAGTCTAGAGCACGATTAAGCCAACCTAAGAATTCATGATATGTAATTCTCTGTATCTCAACTGACTTGTTGCATCTATGCCTGTGGGACAAGAGCTATTGCTTAAATTCATATGAGTATGCAATATTCTATCCATGTATTTGTAGATGGGTTTTGTCTTTTTAAAATAAGTAAATATTTACTTTCTGAGTGATCACCTGGTTACTTCATGTTTGTGGATTCTAAGTAAGAAGTGTATCCTGGTGGAAAAAGATGCTTAAAAGACCACTGTTTGCACTTGGACACTACAAGCAAACAATAATACTTGTACATGATCATTTGAATTTCTTCCTGTGACCCTAACTTCTGTGCATAGATCCAGTACAACTTTCTAGCTGTTGATGAAATTATAATTAACCCATCAAAAAGAGGGTATTGTAGGTCTTATGAATCATTCTCCTTTGCTGGTGATCATTTAATAAGAGATGCATTTAGGTAAGTATTGAATTCTTTTACGAAAGGCCCACTCTAATAGCAGCTTCCTATTTGGGTGCTATACTAGGTAGTAGAACATAGAATTTATTTTTTAAGTTAATATGAATTTGATTTAGCTTTGGTTTTATATTTTATGTTAAAGACTTGTTTTGCTGTCTTTTTATGTTAAAAATGATGAGGAAATAGTGCAAGTTTCAAACTCTTTCACCTCTGACTCATCTCTTCAGGACAAAAAGTATTTCATTTGTGATGAGCCTGAAACTTGGCTGATAGAATAAAAAATGCAATTTCTGAATCTGAGCAAAGTGATTGCTACACTAGCTTCTGAAAGAGAACTGACTGGATCATTCTGGGCTTGATTATCATCAAGCATCCTCTTTATGTCGATGTAAATGATTATTTCACAGAAGTATGTGGGTCATATTGACACAAAAGTGGAAACTTGGATTCGCTCTCTGTAACATAGAGTATATTGAAATGTTTGAATATTGTTTAATTCCTTGGTAAAGGCAAGTCCTGTCATGTATTAGGTAAATACATGATAACATTTATCACTAATCTGAAATGTCTAATGATTTTTTACTTTTCTGAAATTTCAATTTTTCCACTATTTTTGTTATACTTGCTATTAAATAAAACATTCCACTTCAAATAACACTACCTACTGTTGACATCTTAGAGACAACAGACTGTACCTTAAATAGACACTTTTTCACCCAAACATTAAATATAAATAGCTAATGCTATTTTTAGCTAGGATTCCATACAGAAATATGTACTCCAAGTGTAGGCTGGAAAAATTGTGCCTCCAGCACAGGCTCAGAAGAGTTTCAGTGCCATGTTGTGTGTTGTTTAGGAACACACTTCAGGAAAAGACCATCTAGTTACAGCAGAAGTTGTGTCAGTATCCCAGAAATTATCTCAAAGTATAAAACTTATGCTTAAAACAATGCTTAAATTATTACTTAAATGTTTACGTCTCATTTCAAAGGCACAGTTTCTTATGATAGCTGAACTACTTTATATCCCTTTTTGTAAATACACTCCCTCAGTTGGTGCAAGAGACTTTTCTTCACCTTTAGGTTGGAGTTGTTCAGCCATGAAAGCATCAGTCATTGGGCTCTTCTCTTTAGAGGATCTCTTCCTCTCCTCTCAGGGTCTCCTCGCTTTCAGCTTTAAACTTGTGGTGTGAAGAGTCCTGGAGTTTTAACCTCTGCTTGCCTGAAAAAAGTGTTTTCCAGTTTTTCCAGGAAAAAAAAAAGGTTGTATTTAGTTAAAATATTTTTGTATCGTTAAGCATTTCATTTTAATTTAGTAGATGAAGTAATGTGAATGTGTCCTGGTTCCATGTAAAAAGG